CACACTTCAATTTTGTCGTCGACGATGATGATACTTTTAATGAGAGTCTGGTTATAATGCAACAACACCCGTTGTAAGCAGATCATCCCATTCTCCGTCATTATAGCGGAGATGTGTCCTTCCAGAAACGTCATCATTGTCATGATAGTGTCGTGTGACGGGGTTTTCTTTTCTTTGATAACAGTCTCGTTGATCCACTTAAAGAGAGTTTCGGGGAAGTCCAAGACGTCGACCAGTATCACGCTAATTCGAAGGACAAGTTGTGAAGGGATAGAGAGATGTGTAGATTCAATATAGATGTTGATATACTCCAATACCGTTCTTAATAATTCATCGTCGGGAGACTTAATGTCACTCTTCTCAAGAGAATCAATCGCCAATTTCATACTAAAAAAGTCTCGATCGATGCCCGGGCCATCGCCACGGACTCGTAAACACTTTGTTAAAAGTTGCAAAGGGAGTACCACGTCGATATTTTCCTTCAGTATTTTATTCATGATATCTACCGAGATGTCTTCTATTGCATGCATCGACATGATTTGAAAGATCTCTTCAATGTTATTTAACCACACCTTCCCTTCATCTTTGTTGTAACACATTCGAACACATTTCTGCGAGAACCCAACAAGTCGCTCTTTACTCGCAAACTTCAAACCACTCTTCGAACACACAACTACAAAGTGTGTGATCAAAGGAACAACTATCTCAGAACTTCCTTTGGTCTTATTTAAATACTTAAAGATCTCCTCCGCTTCATCATTTTGCATGTAACACGACGTCTTCAATAACAAATCGCCGATTTCACTGCAATAACTCGTGTGAAGATGATTCGAAAGAATCGAAAGGAGTAAACCCTCCTTCAAATTTTTGGTCTCCGCCATAAAGACTATCGTCGGAAGACATACCCCAAAGATCTGTTTATCTGCCATGTCAGAGGTCAACATCTGCCCAACTATCACCCCATTCGCTTTAAACCAATCAGTTAACCCTTTCCGAGTTAGCTCAGCCTTCTTCTCCTCAAAGCGAAATTGAACCGATTTGTTCGGAATGATCCGGTTCCGTGGTATCCCCTTGCCTTGGATCTGAACAACAAACTCGCCTAGTTCAGAGAAGAATAAATACATCTCTTGTTTCGAGGAGACACTAATACTATTCTCTATGAACTCCTCAAACGTTCGCTTTTTCTTGTCTAGTAATTTGTTGGAAGAGTTGGACGTCATCCCCTCTCACCTTTTCGTTCTGAATCTCTCCAAATCAAAAAATTAAAACTATTTCTTTCGTTTTAATTATTCAAAAAGACAAAAACAAAGTGAAAATGTGGTACTATTAAGTCTTAAATAATTTATTATTATTGTATAGTTCTGAAAAAACGCTATTTTTCGTCATGTTGAAAAAAGAACAGCTGGTTGATTTATTAGTTTAATGTACTAGTTTGCTAATACTGATATTTTGAAAAGGTTTTTATTTAGAAGTTGACAATTTTTATTGTATTTGAGACGAAAAAAAAACATGTATTTTTTCTTTCTAAATAAATTATAACATTTCTATTATTAATTTACTATTAATTTTTTTCACCATTGTTTTTTTATCTTTTCATTTTTATACTATAACAATAGTAATAAATATAGTTACTATTTTTAACTATTTTTTTAAAAAACAATTTTTTTTGATAATAATTAAACTACATTAGTATTATAAATATTACCATTTTTTAAATTACTACTTGAAACAATAACAATGGTTTTAATTGTAATATTAATATAGTTAAAAGAATCCATTAAATAACACCCGACCAAAAAGTTAGAATACATTACTATCTCTTCTTGTATTAAGACGGTAACTTCTTATCCCACCCGAAGTGTCTTGACACATGATTTACTTCGACATGACCTTTAGATGCTTTACAGAAGAATTCAGCAAGAGTATCTTCCGACTCACTTCTATTGACAAACTTAAGTAACCTTACAAAAATAAGTGCTTCTTCTCTCGACCTCAAAGTTCCAAATGCACCAAAAGCGGAAGGCACTGTGAATTTAGTGACATTTTTTGGTCGACGACCTTGATACGCTATTTTTGAGTAACACCGTCTTGTCTTACTTCGATTTGTCAATTCCAGAACCCCATTAAAAGCATGTAAGTTGTATGTCTGGTCGTCTTCCGCAAACAAGAAATAGTCCGACTTAGCATCACTCAAAGCCTTAAGTAACCCATTTAGAAAATAATAATTGATTCGCATGTGCTTCAAGTATCTGTCCCACTTCCATCGAGGATTTCCATTTCGCAAATCCGTCGCCGAGTAAAATTCGGCGACCCAGTCAGTGAAATTCGTGCCATCCTTTTCTATTGGATTAAAGTGCAGTTCTTCCACATTTATAGATATGTCAAATGTTGAACTAAATTCAGTAACAACGTCATCCATATCACTGAACGTACAATTTTGACACCCTCGTATAAAGAAGATGTTGCGGACTGATAAGTCTCTGGGGAGATGTTTGAGAGCTTCAGAAAGATCACGCATCGATCGTTTTAACATGGGTCGATTCTTTGGACCAGCTACCACAATGATAGATAGAGTCTTTGATAACACAAACGATTCAATAAGAAGAATACACAGAAATAATTGCATTGTGGTTCAGTTCCTGCAAGTCTAGTTTGGCTCATTTATTTCTTTCGTTCTCTTTTGGGTTCTCTTTCCAATTGACTAAATTAATCAAACATTTTTATTTGTTTACTTTTCATGTTATTATTAGAAAATACAAATCAGCTTTGTTTTCGATTGTCAAAAATGTGTTTATTACGTTTTTGTTATTTATTACATCTCATTTATTATATTATATTTATTTATTTAATTTATTTTTTATTATTTATTACATTACACCTTTGTTATACAAAAATTAAAATGCGATTATTGAAAACACATTTAAACATCCAAGTGTGTAAATTCTAAAAAATATTTGTTGTTTAGTATTCATAGATAATAATTTATTATTAATACACTAATAATATAATTTAAAATTGAAGTATTATATAGTTTTATGAATGTTAGTTTTTACTATATTTTTAACTATTAAAGCATGAAATATAATTTAAATGTTATTAAGTTAAATTCAAGACAATGATTTAATATCTTTGTTATTTGGTATCTTGTTGAGTATAAGAAATGGAATAATTCAGGTTAACATTATAAAAAACTATTCATCGTTTCGGTTTTTTGCAAATATTACCTAATGCCAGTTGTTTACACAAAATTAAAGCCATTTGTTGCCCATTAAATAACATTAAAAAATGACTCTTTACAAAAGATAAATGAAATTTAAATTCAATCAAAATGTTGTTATTTGGTGTAATAAATGTTAAGTCTGATTTTGAAACAAAAACATTGTGTAATTGTTATATTTTAAACTTTTTAGGATATTAATAGTAAAAAAGGTATTTTTCTTTTTTCAGACTTGTTATTTAGACAAGCTGAAAAAAGTATGAGTTGAGTAGTTAAAATTATAAAATTGTAGTCATTTTTATATTAAAATATCGGGAAAATTTCGACAAAAAAAGACAAACATTGTTTTACTTTTTACTTGACAATTTGTGTTAAGTTACATTGCCAAATTTTTTTAATTCAAAACCAACAAATAAATAAATTATTATTAATAAAACAATAACATATAATAAATACAAATTATTAGAAAACTGTAATAGCATTGACAAAACCCATCAATATAATAAAAAATACTATTAAAAACACAACAAAATTTATTATTAATAAATTAAATAAATTTTAATACTAAATGGTAAATAATACTATATAAAATATATTAATTATTGTACAGTATTTGTATAGTTTTCAAATTATTATAAAATTGAATAATTCAAAATACTATTAAGACAATAGTTCTTATGTTTAATTAAAACAATTATTAAAGACCTCTAACCATACAAACTATATATTAATCAATCAAAATTCATATATATTACCAATATATATTAATATATATATATTAATAATATTAATCCACAATATTACAAGTTGTGTTACTCACAACAAAAGGTTTGACTTTCTTCGACTCTTTATCGCCAATGATTTGTTTCATTTTTCCATCTATCAGAAGTGACGACACAATAATTCTTCTTGTGTTCTCAAATGCTGAGCACGCTATAGTAGAGTCCATTGTTGAATAAAATCCAAGCAATTTATTTTTCCAATAAACCTTTTCAGCTTTGGTCGGGGTTTGGCTTCGAAAGTAGACAACAGGGATCTTTTGGGCAACAACGTGAATCTCTTGATAGAGCCAATCAAGTGATCCTTCACATATAACTTTTTTCACAGCTAAATTAATGGACGAAATTATTACAACACCTGTGACTTAATATCATAAAATTATAGTATAGTTATTGTTTATTTATAACTTTTTGTTTTGATACTCGTTAATTGCTGATTTTAATTAAAACACTATTTGAATTTAACGATTATATTGTTTAACGATCTTATTTTCAATGAATAGTACTGAATAACTCGTAAAATATAATAAAAAATATCGAAATATCAACTTTATCAAATAAATAATAGACTCGTTAATTATATTTAAAAATACAAAATTTTACCTCGTTAATTTATTTGATGAGCAATTCCCTCTTTTATGTAATGAAGAAGACAAAGAAAAAGATCGAGATGAATAAGAAATTACAAACTATCTACAGTACACCACTCCGTCAACTTTAGAGCTCCCATAATTTCCGATTTTGTGGAACACTCGCTGATAAAAATGCGTTTGATGCACTCAGTGAGAAACCTTTTTTCTAACACACTGACTCGCTCGATAACGTTTTTGCAAAAGTTGCGCCCATCAATTTGGATGATATGAACTTTACATTGGGGATTGAACACTACCAAATTCGCAATCAATTGGTTCCGCAACTCTTCCTCCCCCGACCCAAACATACTGAAAATTTCAACTTCACGCTTGGGCTCAAGAACACACCCAAACGACTCAAGAAGGTTTGTCTGGAAAGTTGGCTTTGACATGTGAAAACGATTTAATTATATTAGTTATAGTATTTTCTCCTTGAGCGATAATAGATATAATATATTCAAATAAATAGTAATAAAAATATTTATTTGTTACTATTTATTTATTACTAAAACAGAATCTATATTATTATAAAAAAATCAATCAATCAATAAAAGAATCACACAATATACTGCGGGGTGCTTCCCTCTTTCAATAGAATTCTCTGGTCTGTGGTGAACAACGGAGCGTAGTATACGTCCCACATATCCTTACGACTTTCCCAGAACTCGAGGAGCGCGCGTTTCTTAGCAGAGATACACGAATTTACAGCAAAAGGCATTGCCGCGAAGTCGACGAGTATGTTCACAAAGAAAGGAGGGATGTCAGTCTTGTATGTCCCAATGAGAGCACTCACCGCCAATATATACGCATGTTGATAATTCTCGTTCCCGCCCTCCTCAACTTTCTTTTTCAACTTCTCAATAAATTCGCATATTAACTCGATGGGGTGGAAAATATCAAACACTGCTAAAATAGTGTCCGCAACAATGATTCTGACTTGTAACAGTGGCGACACCAACAACTCAAACATCGTCTCCAACACTCTTCTGATCTTTTCTTCGGTCATTCTGAATTCGTGCACATAGATAGTGACACTAATGTTTCGAGCCAATATACCAACCTGATTTTGTGAACATGCGTTCTCTTTTATTGTTTTCAACAGAAATTCCAAAAACACTCCGAACGACTTTTCTTCCATAAATAGTGGCGAGTAATTATCGAATATTTCCGCGACATCATCCATTACACCGTGTGTTGAAGTTGCATACGATAACAACTTTACATACACTTTTTCCAATAAATTCACGGTATCTTCTTTGATGATAAAACTTTGCTCATAACTCGGGAACAAAATTTTTGGAATGATTTTGTACTGTGGCGGCAACGCAATTGCGTTATTATTATCTTCCCGTTTCTCGGGCATTTCATTGACGAGTTTCTCAAACACCTCCATAAAGTTTTTCATCTCTTCTGGGTATTGCATTTGGTATACCAAACACTTTGACCCAAATGTGATCGCGCACTCTATCAATTGTTCAATTGGGTTTCTCACAATCTCCTCGAAGATAACAAGCGCGGGGTCTAGCAAGTCAAATCGCGCTCGAGATGCCGTCAATATATACATCTGTGAGAGTACACTTCTTTTGCCCATAGCAATCAGTTCAAATGGTTTTGTGATTCGTGGGTCTGACCGGCACGAAAACATTGCGTGCAACCGGTTAGCATACGCATAAGCGTCCTCATATTGTTGACTCAAAATTCCATCCATTATCTGTCCCAATCGTTCCGTCACCTCTCTCATTTCTTCAATCTCAAGCATCTCATTTCCTTCGAGAACTATTTGGAAGAGAACCATAGCTTTTCTAAATTCATCTTTGTTTTTCTTTGACAATCTCTCCTCCGTCATATCCAACAGCAAATTTGACACTTTCTTCCCGAAAATTTGGATAAATTGGTGTAATAACAAATAATCGTTCAGTGAGATATATTTCCCTTCTTCATCATCTTCGTCCCCAACAATGTCATTCGTCACTATAAATCCCAAAAGTGTTATATACTTTTCTAGTTTCTCTTTATCATCAACAAACCTATTTGTTATTATATTTTTATTATAGAATTATAATACCATTTGGATTTGTTTTGTGAAAATGTTTTTTAAATTGTTTTCAAAATACAAAACAAACTTCTCGAGTCTTTCCTTAATATCTTGTGGAATGTCAATACTTTTTTCTACTGCTGAGAAAAGTCCAGCTTCCCCAAACTTTGACGTGAACTCGTTGATAAGGTGGAGGTTGTGATGTTCTGAAAAGTCATCAGTTTTGAGATCTTGCGAAAGAAGTTCTGATTGAGTGATGCAGAACGTCTTCTTTCGAATCATTTTGGCAATCTCTTTGAAATATGTGGAACGATCGGTAGATTTAAGGACCAAAAACAGACCACGTTTCTTGTCGAAGTTCTGTATGCAAAGTCTCAAAATTGTACCATACCGTTTTGGCAATGGTAGAGGCATGAGTAGTTGTTCAAGGGAATAGTAAATTAGCGACACTGGGACGACTTTGCCTCGCTTCATCAGATACATTGAAACCACTTTGCTCAATATCCGATGCATCAAAGGATTAGTGTTACACCCCTTATACAATAGTTGCATAAAGTCTTCTGGAAGCTCTTTAATCTGGTGGATGTTACACGTCTCCACAGCCAATTCAATTTGTGAAACCAGAGTTGTCAGCGCGACGTCGCGGAAGACAGCGAAGTTGTTCAATTCGCTTTGGATGAAATGTTTAATGACGTCAAAGAGAAGGTAGATGTCCTTCACTTCCAAGTGGTTGACATACGTGCACAAGATCTTCAGTGCAAATATGTACGAGTTGATGTTATTCTTTGTAATTTCTTTTGGTAAGTTTGCCATCAACTTCTCGATGATTTCCTTCGCTTGTCCATGACGTAATAAGTTACATGAGTTTGAATATTGGTGGAAATCTCCATCGCAAATATTAATAGTGAGCAGTTCCTCTTCGATGAATAGATCAACGTCAAGTTGTGTGTACAACAAGTCATAAACGAATGATTGTAATTGATATAAAATACTTGTCGCTTGTTCGTAAAAGATGATAGGTGGAAATTTGGTGTGGAACGTTCGTTTCGTCGGGTGGATTAAAAATGAAACGGAACTTGGTGTGTAGTTCTGGCTTTGTTTCCTCAAATACGTCCGCAGTATTTTCAGCAACTTCTCGATGATCTTTTTGTCGTCCAAAAAGAGCGTTCGAACGCGTTTAGAAATTGCTATCATAATATGACCAACACTTTCCCAGTTCATTTTTCTCTCGTACACTGACTCCAACTCAAATCGAAGGCACTCGAACTCTTCTGGCAATTGTGCTTTGTGTTCTCGAATGTCGTACAACACAGAGGCGGCCTCTTCAAACACTTCGAGACAACTTAAGACGTGGAGCAAATCGTTTCTTTTTCCTTTCAGTGTGTCGTCTTGCATCTCTGCAAGTTGTTTTAGTTTCTCGAAATTGTCATACACAAACGTGTTATAAAATTCTTGGAAGAACTTGTGGTCGCTCTGGATTTCCGGGTCCACGTGAGTGTCTTTAGTCAGCTCACAGTGACTCTGGAAGACGATTGGAAACTTCGGTTTGAATAACGGAAGTGAAAACACCATCCCGCCGATCGCGCAAATCTTTTTTCCGCACTCGATGGCCTTTTCCTTCACTTTGTCTTTAGGCGAGTCCAAGAAGTGATTGATAACAAACATGACTGTTTTCCCGTATTTTGTGAAATTGGTTCTGTGCGCTAACGACGTGCACAGAATCGTGAGCCAATAGATTTTTTCGTTTGTTGACAATTCGTTGATAACAATGGTCTCGTTCTTCCTCTCGCAAATTTTGTTCAGTGTGATTTCAATCAATTCATTCGCAAACTTCTCCGAGTAGTACACAAAGATTTCTACTATGACGGACAAACACTCGACTAACACCGTACTCTCGCTGATATGTTTCAAGATCTTCCCTTCTATCACTTTACGATGATCTCCTTCAATATGTAATAACGTCTCAATCGAGTTGTAGTATTCATTCCCAAGTGAAATCGCTTCCATGTTCGATCCATTTTTCATCATCTCGAGCATCGACCCAAAGTACTCGACAATGATCTCCGGAAGTAAATAAAAGACGCCTTTCTGGACTGAGTCTTCACTTACATTATCGGGTGGGGTGTCGACTATATAAAACCTTCTTGAGAGCACCAAAAACATGTCTCCGACGATCATGTTGATTTCAGACACATTTGGGTAATTCCTGTGTAACTCAAATACTATTTTAATGATTTCTAAAGCTGTTTCATCATTCTCGTCAACTAATTCATCGAAGATTTCAATGAATAAAGATACTACTATTAAGTACGTCTGGAAGTGGTGCTCGTCCGGTTTACTCGACAACACTCTCCGTAGTCTTCTATGATCAATTCCTTAGTATATCTTGGTTCTATGACATTCACCCACTTCAAAATATCTTTGCAAATCATCGTGACGTTATCCATGAAGAACATCGGCTTCAGTGTCTTAAAAATCGAATACACAAAATGCCGCACACAGGTGGTCCTCATCTTCTCGTGCAACTTCTCATGCACAAAGTACACAACAAGCGATTTAATAAATGAAATGACAGAGACAACTCCGTCGTTATCATCAGAAACAGCACGATGGACACTTTCAAAGAACGTTCTGATTCTCAAAAGAGTCTTTGGGACCTTCAAATTCTCTTCTTCCATCTTTGCATCGGTGTGTTCTGTATGTTCCCCATTCAATTGAAGAATTTCATTTTTCAATAGTGCGATGATCAAGAGCGACGAGACGCCAATGAACTCCTCCTCGTCCGGTTTGAACACTACAAGGCCTTTAAACGGGTTATTAATTCCGTCCAAGACTCCATCGCCGCCATTAAATTCGTAGAAGATGTCGTGGTTAATTCTGTCAAACAAAAAGTTGATAAAGTCGTCGTCGGGTAAGAGCTCCGTGTTGACTAAGATATCGGACAAACACATCATGTTGAAATAGTCCTTAGCATCCGACGTATACCCATGTTCCCATTCCTTCACCATGTCATTCAAAAAGTTGTCGTACGAAAGGGATGGCATGAACGCGTTGATTAAATACGTTTTCTTCAATCCATTATTCGAATTCGGGAAAATCCGGATCCTTTCAATGATTTCTTTTGCGTCACTCAATTTAAAAAAGTTCTTGAAATGAATGAGAAGAAGGCCCGAGAGAAACGGAAGATCCGCTCCTTTATTAATCTTTTTGAAAGATGGTTTGTAGTCGAGTTCCAGCTATATATGAGTCCACCATTTTATTCTATTTATTATAATAATTTATAATAAAAAGTCCACTTTTTAATTATTAATTATATTTATAAAATTGAACGTGTTCCAATATAGCGTGACGAGTAAATTGAACCCGTCAAAATTTTTTTTAAAAATTTTTTAAAAAACTTTTAAAAATCGAACAAACTCCTTTCAACGGGTCTTCTGAGTGGTCTCGAAGATAAATTAACCCATAGATTTGGTCGGCATCTGTGATAGTCGAGAACGAAGTAATGTAACTGTCGGGGACGCCAAACATCCCTTTTACATGAGCGGAGGACAAGATGAGTTCAGTAATCGACGAAATGGCTTTTTGGTGTTTTTTGTTATAGTACGAGTCTGAAATAGAGTTGTATGCGAAAGTTAAGAATTCTTTCAATTCGTCATCCGTCAGACCTATCCCAGAGTACATGAACTCTTGGAGGTACGAAAGCGTATGAGTCAGTTCAGTATAACTTTTGCTGAGTAAAGCTGGGTTGAGAGCAAAAATCGTTTTGTGTACGATGTTTTGAAGAACAGGGACGATGGGAAGATACTTCCCCAAATAACTCTCCCACAACCGTTCGATGGGCCGTTCAGGCACTCTTTCAATTTCCATTTTTTGAATTTTTGAGTTAGAACCCTTCAGTCTTCTTATTATAAGTTCAAAAGTTAGACTTAGTCCAATTATTGTGGTTTTCTTCACATTAATTTTACATATCAAATGTGGATATCATCAGGATTTTTAGCCGTTTTCTCATATGAGGTGATAAACTATAAAATAGAGTTAAAGTATTACAAATTAATAATTTAAAACAAAGAGTACAGTATAGTTAACAATAGTACAAAACAACTCGAAGATACTTCATTCTAAAACTAAATATTATTAGTTTTAGAATTATTATCAATGAAAGAAGATTAAAATGACTTTTTTGTGTGATTTAAACTGAAAAACACACACATAATTAACAATGAAAGGCATCAATTTCAAGACGCGAATTCCATACGAAATAGTGAGTGAGTGTTCTGCGTTTTCTGTCGAAGGAAAGAATGGTAAAGTCACAGTCAAGTTGAACATACCGTCTTGTGACTTTGTAGCACACAAAGGGTGGAGTTTTAAAGGGTCGTGGGTTGGGTTGTATGTAGTTGACCGCGACCAAGATTACAATTATGTAGATTCGATATATCCCGAGACGGAGAAGTCTGTTGTGACGTTTACAGGCGTTATTGATGGGATATATGAAGTCCGCTATTTTAGTGATGAGTACCATCGGATTACACAATACACTGCAAAGGTTGTTGTAGGGACGTTAGTTGTACCTAAGAAAGTCGAAGAGATATTTGATGCCAAGAGACGAGTCGTTGAAGTCACTTTTGATTGTCACGAGTTGCTTGACATGGATTGGTTTGGGTTATTTCTCGCGAGTGAAAAAAGTCAAAAAAAGCCGTTATGTACGAAGATGGTGTATTCCCAGTGTGAGAAGTATACAATCGATTTGGGCGAGTTACATTTGGAGACGTGTCTGTGTGATGGAAATCGATATGTGACGCCCATTGTCTTTCAAATCAGATATTTTCGACAACACTCGACTCGGTATGATAAAAAGATGACGTTCACGTTTGTCCCGTCGGGCATTATTAATTGTGTATTTAGTATAGGGAGAGTCAAAGCACTTTTAGCGTGCGGAAATTCTGATATAGTCGTGATGTATAAAACTACATCAAACAATTTCTTTGTCGCTGTTAAGGATGACCACAACGTCACAGTCTTCGAAGAAAAATTTGTTAATCAGTCTTATGACGGAGAATTACTGTTGAAAATCCCAGAGAACGTTGTACTGAGTGGAACATACTATATCTTTCTCTTGGCTGCAGAGACTAGACGTATCATTGCTATTTCTGAAGCTCTTTTGATTTAATAATTTACACTATTTTTTGTTTTTATATGGGTTTCTTAATATGTCTATATTGTTATATGCAACATAACATATCTATGTCGTGGAATTAATATAATATGGAATTAAAATCCGTTGTAGAACAATAAAATTGAAAACGAAAACTTTACTTTATAGAAATATATTAATTGGATATTGTCGTATTTCACTTTAATATTAATTACAATGATTGCTATTTTAACTGTAAATAACAGATGAAAAATAAAACATATAAGGTATTGTTTTTAATAACAATTAACTCTTCAAAAAAGCAGATTGTTGATTGTTGTTATTATTTGTAACTTTGTGTTTAATAAATAACAATCATATTGTTGTAACACTTTTTTGTTTATTTTTTTAAAGTTTCATTGAAACTTAGCACTATTTGTTCTTTTATTGATCATACAATTTTTGTTATACTCATGTATTTAAAAAGTCTTTAAACTACTTCTTATGTAATAATATAATTCGGGTTGTTAAAATACATGAATGATTAAATTATGTTCTATGAAAATTTAATAGTATTTCAACACAAAAAACAATTACAGACACTACTTAGAAACATTCTATTAAGCGTTTCTATTATACACATTCCTCTTTCATTTTTTTTAAATTGTAATAATTTTTATACACAACCTCTGTTTCCTCTTTTTAACTTCCACTTCAAAAACTAGAACTAAAAAATAAATAAAATGTTTACACCCTCTTCAGTTCTTTTCCACCAACAAGACAACCCACAAGGTGTTCTCAAGTATCTTCAAGAGAACAAACTTCCTGATAATCAGCTTCACCCCATTATTCTTTCTTTACTTTTAAATACTGATAAGGAAATTGTTGAGTCAATATTTAAGCAATATCCTTCTTGTCATACTTGGATTAATTCAAAAAGTGAAATACCTCTTTTTACAGCACTTCTAAAAAATTCCAACACCATCGACTTGTTATTGGAGAAGTCGGATCTTTCGTATAAAACTATTTCGGGCGATACTGTTTTACATTATATTTGCAAGTCTCCAATAAAAGACAAGAAAAAATACATACAAAAGGTTGTGGCCTCTAACATGTTTTTAATTCAATCCGAGAATGAAATTGGAGAGACGCCACTCCACTATTTGGCAGCGACTGGGACTAAAGAAGAAGTTGCTTATTTACTTTCTCTTGGTGCTACAAAGACTTACTTGACCAAAACTGGATCGATTCCATTGATATATGCTCTTGAAGCTGGGAACACTGAAGCTGCAATTTTGCTCTCAGAAGAATTATCAACCACTGTAGACAGTGACAATGGAGAAGATGCTGAAGATGATGAAAAAGAAGAGAAAGATGATGAGTCATTGAGTGGTGATTCTCTTTCGAGTGATGATGATGCCATGACTGTCTCTGTGATGGCACAAATTTCAAAAGCCGAGCGTCACAAAAACAAGAAGAAGGGGAAGAAAGATTCAGCGAAGAAAGTGAGTACATTAGAAGATCAAGTTCAACAGATTTTGAGCATCAAAAAGCCGACAAATTTGATTGAAACGGCCAAAAAAGTCAGTAAAAAAGAGAAGTACAAAATTTTAAGTATCGATGGAGGAGGAATGAAGGGGATATTAGAAGCCATATTACTGAGTCGAATTGTTAAGAAACACCCAAAGTTTTTGAAGAAAGTCAATTTGGTTTGTGGGTGTTCTGTTGGGTCGATTTTGGCCTCTTTTTTGGTCTGTGGGTATGACCCGGACACCTGTTCCAAATTACTTGAGTTGATCTCAGAGAAACTTTTTGTGAATCCAAATCTCACACTGAATGAAGCAAAGTATGAGACTAAAAGTCTTCAATTTATTCTTGAGAAGGTGTTTGAAGACACGAGAATTAAAGACGTCAAATGCCATTTTCTGGTGGACTCCTTTTTGATTGATCCCGAGACAAATCCAAGAGAGTGTAAAGCATGTGCATTCACTAATCTGGAGAAGGGATATGAGAACGAAAAACTCTCGGACATTTGCTTGAGAAGTGCGGCAGCACCTACATATTTCCATCCATATCAAAACTATGTTGATGGTGGCATCTTGAATAACACACCCGTTGGAGTCAGTTGGGCGTACCTCTTTGGAGAACAAGGGTTACAATTAGATCCCAAAAATGTTGTGTGCTTCTCATTGTCTGCTGGCAAGCCGGACCCATATTATATAGATATTAACAAAATTGGAAATGGTGGATTGGTTCAGTGGGCGACTCAGATCTCTGATACAGTTTGTTGTATTATATATTATATATATAATAATATATATATTATATTATTATATTATATATATTATATTTTATTATATATTATTATAATTACTATATTGTACAATATGAATAATTAATAATGACATATAGTTCATGTACGCAACAAGAAGTTGGTCAGTCAAAGAAGGAGGAATTTACCTTGGAGATAGATGGCTGAGATTCGACCCACCACTCGGTAGAATTATAAAATTGGATCAAATAGAATTGATCCCAGAATTAAAGGAAATTGCAAATAACGTCGATTTAACTGTCGTCGATAAGTGGCTCGAGAAGTATTGGGACTAATTTATTGAAAGTTGATTAACTTTAAAATAGAGTAAATAACAAATTATAAATTAGATAATTATTATAATTATAATAATAGAAATTGTTTTATTTTGTTTGAATTTAAATAAAGTTTTCTTGGTAAAAACAATTGAAATGAACCATTTAATCAATAATTTCATATAAACCGCATTACTCGACATGGTTTTTTTGCTTCAAGCTTTGTGTTTTTAATCATTTCTTAATTCTTGTGTTTTGATCGAATAATTTAAAGATAAATCTTCAAAGCTTATAATTTATTATAAAAATAAAAGAGTTTGTAAATGTTTAGAATAATACAATAATATAAGAAAGCCAAACAATTCATATTTTATTGTTTTACAAAGAATACATTGTTATGTCTTCGAATATGATTCTTGTAGATTATAGAAGATACAATTCAAATTAAATCAATGAATTATATTGTTTAAACGTGTTTATACTGTTGTTTTTCCAAAGACTAAACCTTTTTCTTAACAATTCTAACGACTTGTTCAAAGAGCGTAACTCAAAACTTACTCTAGACATTAGACATTTTGTTTTCTAGAGAATACAGTGTTTATAATTAGCCTTTTTAACCACCAAACGTTTATTCACCACATTTTAGCAATCAAACTTCAACTTTTTTGATCTTTCTTTTTGAGGACTTCAAATTTTTGTAACAACATATTCCATATATTTCTGGAAAATACAAAATATTTAGTGGTTTTGTAACTACATCTTATAGTTATCTAGACCTCAGTATTTATAATACAACCACGTGGTTTCATTATTTCTGTTTTCTTTTCTTTTAAACAGCAATTATAAATTATAATAACATTATTATAAAATAAACTATAAAATTATAACAAATTTGTTAATGAAAATAAATGAAATAATACACTTTTCATTTTAATAAATACTAACTATACTTCTAGTATATATAACTATTTCAACACACACAAAATCATCAATAGAATATAAAATTATTAAAACAAATACAAATAGAAAACACAAAAAGCCATTTTAGCGTATTTTTTAATAAACAAAATATAAAGATTTTTCGAGGTTTTTATTTAAAAAATTTAGTAAAATTTCGTATAAAACGAGAATATGTAACTTGATAAAGCAAGTATGTCACGACGTTTAAGTAGCTCTCGTAACCAACCCCTTGTCTACATTTCTCCTTTATTTGGGGAGATACCATTTTTGACGTATTGTCCTTCCCAAAACATCACAATGGAAACGCACTTGTTCTTGCCGATGTACCAAACTGCAACGAACCAATCAAACACATTATGGTCACAAATCTTTCCTTATTTAGGAGCAACTAATATTACGGAACTGACAAGACTCTACTCATTCACAACATCAACCACTCTATCATTGATTCAAAGTCTTCCTCAAGTCGAAAGTTCACAGTTTTTTAGAGACATCTTCCCTATCATCGCTTCTCTTGCAGCAATCCACCCAAAACTCTTCCAAAACCCTTTACCTTTGCCAATAACACAGAACTCGTGTTTGAAATTAACACGTCTCCAAGTCGCTTCTCTCTTCGCGTTATCATTTTTGGGGGTGTTCAGACTCCCTTTGAAGTTCCAAGACGCCAAACAGTTTCCACGATGTCTTGGAATAACTGACAAAGTCGCGGTGACTAAATTTCGATGTTACATGGCTTACTTCTCTACTATAGGAATAGCAGTGATTAACAACGATAAAACTTTACAGGAAGTCGTGACGTACCAACGAGTCACTGCACAACCCCCAACATGGGGAAGTATTGATATCCCAATCACCAATAAAATAGATATGCGCGATGGGCTCATCGAGGACGAACCAAAAGACGTTTTTAAGTCCGTCTTCTCTTCTAAAGCGGTCGGTGGAAATGTTTTAATCGATGGATGCTCACAAGAGGAGATCCTATTCATCAAATGTCCCGAGTGCTTAGTCGCAATGTTAATAACTCCATTTCTTGGCGCAATTGAATCATTTAGAATATATAACGTTATACAATATGCTGATGTCGTCGGATACGCTGGTGAAATCACGTTCAATGGAAATATAGCGTCACAAAAGAGGTTTGTTCTTTATACTATAATTATATAGTAATTATACTATAAATATACTATACCAATCTCATTCAATTGGAACAAATATGTTGGTGTGTTCTTCTTTATTAATATTTATTACTATTTAAGTATTAATAAGTATTAATAAATATTTATAAATAGAATACACAACTTTCTTATGTTTGACGCATTGATTTGCGTTGACAAGAAACTGCAATACACTCGCCAGGGTATCGACCGTGAGTTGAATAAAGTGTATAGTGCAATTAATTATTTGGATGACGATTTGGACCATATGATGCCCTTTTCGACGGGGAAGTGGGGGTGTGGATCGATGTTAGGAGACCCGCGTTTGAAGTTTTTAATTCAATTGATGGCCTCATCGGTTTCGGGAAGAATGATGAAGTATCACCCCATGAACGATCCAGTCCATGAAAAGGAAGTCCTATTATTCCTTCATTCAATATCCTCGAAAGTAGTAACTGTTCGCTCTTTGTATAATTACATTATTCAAGTGAGTGCCTCCAACCCAGAACTTCTTCTTTCTCCTTATTGATGTTTTTTGTCTTCATTTAAACTTCATTATAAATTAATAAATTAATTAATTACTAAATAAATAATTAAATTATTAAATTATTAATATATTAAATTATTAATATATTATTAATTAATATCTCTTATAACAAAATAAAACTCATCAGATCCTTCATCACTTAATTTCTTTCAAATTCATTTCCACTCCAAGATCAGTAACG